GGAGGAAGGGAAAGCACAGAGGACCAGGAAACTATTAGCTCGAGGAGCTGTGAGCTCACTCACCACTGGAGTTCCCACCAGACTTCCAGGGCTGGCAGCAAAGTCCCCCCTCCAACGCACAGATAAGAAGGGAAGGGGCATATACGCTATATATTTATTTAAAAAACACACACACTCACTCTAACTACATCCCCCCACACACACACACTCTAACTGCAGCCCCCACACCCTCACACTCTAACTGCACCCCTCACAAACACACACTGCACCCCAAATACAAACACTCACTCTAATTGTACCTCCCCATACACACACACTCGAACTGCACCCCTCACACACACACTGCACCCCAAACACACACACTCTAACTGCCCCCCTCACACACACATTGCACCCCAAACACACACATTCTAACTGCACCCCTGACACACACACTGCACCTCAAACATACACTGCACCCCTCACACACACACACACTTTTGCCCAAACACACACACTGCTCCCCAAACGAACACACTCTAACTGCACCCCTCACACACACACACTGCTTCCAAAATACACACACTTTAACTGCACCCCTCACACACACCACACCCCTCACACACACAAACTGCACCCTCACAAACTCACTGACCCCAAACACGCACACTCAGACTGCACTCTTCACACATATACACTGCACTCCAAACACACACTGCATCTTCACACACACACACACTGCATCCTTTTTACACAAACACACACACTGACTGCACCCCCCTCTCTCCCCACACACACTGAATACCTCCCATACACACACACACACACACACACACAATGACTGCAACCTTCACACACACTGCACTTTTCACTCACACACACACACTGCACCCTTCACACACACCTCACCCTTCACACACATACTGCCACACTGCACCCTTCACACACACACACACACACACACTAATCTACATTTCTTGCATACACACTCTGAATCCCCTGTGCACACACTAGATCCCCTGTAAGCAAACACACTACGTTCCCTAAATACCACTCTTTACAACCCCTACACACATTAGATCACCTACACATACATATATACTATAGCCCCAATGCACACACTCACTACATCCCCTATACACACACACACACACACACACACACACTTTTTTCACTCTCTACTGCACCTAGCCACACATTACAACACAACTAAAACTGACCTATTTACACACCACACGTAGGACTCCCACCCATTCCAATTGTGCTGATTTTGGGGACACCAAGGAACTGTTCCTAAAAAGTGTAGCATGAGCATTAGATGCCCTCAAATTATGGTAATTACAGTAGGAGCCTTCAACAAGCAATGAAACATTGCCCTCTGCATGGTCTTCCTTTTAGTGGGTTAGTCGAAGTGATTGGCAGGCTGCCCAATGTTTATTAATTTATTCATGCCAAACTGACCTGCCAGTTCTTTGGGAGGACCCGTTTCTATTCTGGGCATCACTGGCCAGCCATCTCTTGCCCACTGGCATCCTGATAATTGGGTTGCCAATGAGGGGGTATGAATATGTCAAAACAAAAAATTCACCACTTACTTATCCCAGCACCCCCCCAACGACCAGCATCAGCACCTCAAAGTACAAATGCAAAACCCCAATAAGCAATAAACCCAATGTAAATATCCAAGCACCTCCACAACCCTTCACCCACCTCAGATGTTGGCATCTTGGCTATTTTGGCCTTAAATTTGAAATTCCCTTTAAATTCACTGTTAGAATGTTAATTTTATTTATATTTCCTAATATATGGCCCCACTCCATGTTTCTGTATGTTGTATACAGTTTGCACCCATGACTCTCTCCTCACACATTTTGTCAATATTAATGAATTATAAAAAGATATTGGAATGAAATGTTGTCTTTCCTGCCCTGCTCTGGAACATGCTGTGTACCATACTTCATCATAGAAAGACACTAGAGCGCGTTTTTACATTTATTAGTTCAATTTTCAGGACAAATTGCGGCTGCAGTTAGTAAAGGCATAAATGAAATTTTTTGCTGTGAAACTGTAAGAATATCACTGAGTAGGCATGACAGATCAAGCTGCTAGCTGTATGAAATATAGGAATTTCAATGCAAGCTCTCGGTAAAGTTATTCTAAAATATACCACTAGAAGGCACTAAAGAACATATTGTAAAATGGATCACAGGAGAAATGAATTATCGGGAATTTAACGTATAGTCTCTGGTAAAATCTGACTATTTCATTTAAGAGATAAAAACAATGATTCATCGTAGGTTGATGGGAGTTATGGTTCTTAACATCTGATGGTAAATAAGTAATCATCATCCTTCTGCCAGTCATGAATCGGCTGAGGGTGATTGGAGTAGTGTTAAACAAGTAATGACATTCTCGAGGTGTCTGAGAGCGAGATCTATCACAGATTTATAGAATACTTAGAAATAACATCCCATCATTCTAAGTGCGTTACGCGTTATGTAGCCAGCATGTAATGGAAGACGTGTGTATATATGTAAACGTGACTAAGTTGCAGTGGTTGACATTAGACATGTTCGCTGTGAAACATTTTTGATGTCATTTCTGTTAAAGGTTCAGGGTAAGCACCATAAGAACTCTATAGAGTTTATTTGCTAAATTGGAGAATTCAAAGATATAAGGCCAGATTAGCTGAACTCAAAGCATAGCTGAATTTTTCTGGTTCATCTATTTTGCCGTTAAATTTGAATAATTTTTGCACTCACGTTGAATTCTCCTGTTAGTAAATCACCCTGTGCATTACAAAGATTGACTAATACCTGCAGCAATTTGTAATATTCACCCAGATATAATATGGCCCCTACCCTTCTATTGTAACCCCCCATTCCCCACACCTCAGTAAATTGCTTCACACAATCTGATTTATGTAACATTTCCAATAGACAGAGAGGGACACTTTCAGTTTGGGGTGAGACCGGTGGAGAGGCCAGGAGATGGGGGTGGTGCTAGTGATGGGGCTGTTCTGAGAAATATTAGGTTACTTACTAATAACAATTTATACCGCTAGAATGTAATGTAGAAGAACAATGTAAACTAGAAAAATGGTCAGAGTTGTGGCAACTGACATTTAATGTGGATAAGTGCAAGATAATGCATCTTGGACGTAAAAACCCAAGGGCAGAGTACAGAATATTTGATAGAGTCCTAACCTCAACATCTGAGGAAAGGGATTTAGGGGTAATTATTTCTGATGACTTAAAGGGACACTATAGTCACCTGAACAACTACAGCCTAATGTAGTTGTTCAGGTGAGATCTATAACTCCCTGCATGCAATCTAATGTAAACACTGTATTTCTAAAAAAAATACAGTGTTTACATTGATTGATAGGAATACCTCCAGTGGCTGTCACTCAGACGGCCACCAGAGGGACTTCCTATCATTTATGGCCCTAAAAAAGCCATGTACACGTCAGACGTATTAAAATACATCTGACGTGTGCAGGAGAGAGAAGGCACTGTGTGCGCGCATTCTCTCTCCTGCCTGTCAGCAGAGGAGAGGGGGCGGGCAAAGACCGCGAGCTGAGCTGTCATGAATGCCGCCCTATGAAGTATGTGCGCATGTGCGGCAAAGCAGCACATGCACACAAGGGAGCAATGACGCTTCCGAATGGAAGCGTCTGATTGCTCCCTGCTCGCGACGCCTATTTCGTCATTTTGATGAAATAGGGGGTGCGGCTTCACGAGGCTCCCAGCGATGGAACAAGGTGAGTAAAAAGGGCTGCCTGGAGTGTCCCTTTAAATGTAGGCAGACAATGTAATAGAGCAGCAGGAAATGCTAGCAGAATGCTTGGTTGTATAGGGAGAGGTATTAGCAGTAGAAAGAGGGAAGTGCTCATGCCATTGTACAGAACACTGGTGAGACCTCACTTGGAGTATTGTATGCAGTACTGGAGACTGTATCTCCAGAAGGATCTTGATACTTTACATGGATAGGCAACCTTCGGCACTCCAGATGTTGTGGACTACATCCCCCATAATGCTCTTGCACGCAAAATGCTGGTAAAGCATCATGGGAGGTGTAGTCCAAAACATCTGGGGTGCCGAAGGTTGCCAATGCCTGCTTTAGAGAGAGCTCAGAGAAGGGCTGTTAAACTGGTTCATGGATTGCAGGATAAAACTTACCAGGAAAGGTTAAAGGATCTTAACATGTATAACTTGGAGGAAAGACGAGACGGTGGGATATGATAGAAACATTTAAATACATAAACAGAATCAAAATAGTAAAGGAGGAGACTATATTTAAAAGAAGAAAAACTACCACAAGAGGACATAGTCTTAAATTAGACGGGCAAAGGTTTAAAAATAATATCAGGAAGTATTACTTTACTGTGAGGGTAGTGGATGCATGGAATAGCCTTCCAGCTGAAGTGGTAGAGGTTAACACAGTAAAGGAGTTTAAGCATGAGTGGGATATGCATAAGGCTATCCTAACTGTGACAGCCGGGTACCCCCATCAATCGCTGCCTCCTAGTATCTGCGAGTACCATCAGCACTGCACTGGAACATCATAACCACCGTAAACACCACGAATTGCCGCAGCTTGGTTGGGTTCTCGCCGTCCTCCACCCAACCTGGACCCACGATCAGGATCCAGCTTCCAGTGAGTAGGCCTCTCTTAGTCTCGAGAGCGTAGCAGGAACAGCTCTTAGAAGAGCTAGTGATTATACTTCAGGGAGTATAGTGATTATAGCAATCCCCAGAGTGTAGTTCTCCAATCCCCCAAACATGAGCCGAAACATCATGAAGGTGCAAGATGATCTGAGAGTTTAATGGTACAGGTTGGATTTTTATACAACTTTTCAGGCCAGAGGAACACCCACTGGACCTGATGGGGCACAGGACACAAATTGTACAGACCAATAGAAACAATGTAACAATGCCTGACACTCCCACATACAGCACACAATCCCTCCCCTCTGCCTGTGATACAATTAAGGTAGATAATGTATTAGTAAAACACAGTGAGTCCAGTGTAGACTGGATAAGAATCCAGACCGTACTAGTCAAGTGAGTGGAGCGCTGAATGTTCACACTTACCCTTAATTAGGGTTAAATCTCAGATGTATATATGTACATGCAAATAAAACAGAGAAATACAACACAATATAGTGTAAATCCGTGAATAGAAGAAATCTTGTGATAATATATCAATAATCAAACTCACATGGATTAGAGCCTCATAAAAGGACAGGCTCAAATCTCTTCAACATTAGTATCGTATGGAGACACTGCACCCTTTAGCTGGAATAGATTTCCTCAAAGAAAAAAAGAGAAAAACAGGGGAAGGAAACCCCCTAGTGTACTATGTATATAATAGGTAGTGCACAAACAGTGATTATGGTAGTGCTCACCTGATTCAGAGCCAATGAGAACCTGGCTCTAGATGGTAGACTTGAGTGCCTTTAAAAGGGGGCACTTATAAAAAATAACAAATTTATTGTAAATATAAAAACAAAGTAAAATACTTTTACAAAAAGTAACTATAAAGTCCCAAATTTGGCTTCAGCTCCGAGACGCGTTTCACCCACATAGCGTTGGTCCTATCTTGCTGTGAAAGAAGGGTAAGTGCCCCCTTTTAAAGGCACTCAAGTCTACCATCTAGAGCCAGGTTCAGCAAAAAGCTGGCCAGCAGGCCCCTCGAAGAACCCGTGACGAGGTTCAGTTCGTCACAGGGCAATAATCACAGGGTAGGAGGCTGGCAAACAGGCTCATCCAAAAACCAGTGAAGAGGTTACTTTCGTCACACTAACTATAAGATAAGGCTAGGGACTAATGAAAGTATTTAGAAAATTGGGCAGACTAGATGGGCAGAATGGTTCTTATCTGCCATCACATTCTATGTTTCTATGTTTCTAATGTTTCTTATTTACACAGACTGATTTCTAAACACATTTATTGTAGTTTAAAGACACATTACTGGGAGTATTATTATATTATTATTATTAAGAGCTTCCTCATTGCTTGTGCAGGTGCTGCAGTTGAAGACATGTTAAACTCTTTCTTTTTTATGTATTTCATTAATATTATATTGTTTATTATTTTGACTGTTATTTCCATATTTGAATGCATTGTCTGTAAAATCATTAAAATGGGGTTACTTCCTGCCTATTATGTCCATGTAAGCCTGTGTACGTGAAGACATAATTGTCAGGAAAATATTAGATATTCATGTCAGCATTTGCAGAGCATCTTTCTAGACAGAAATTTCATAAAATTGTTATAAACTCATTATTCTCTTAAATCTCTAGCCACATTTCACCAGTGGTGATTCTGGGAAAAATATATTGGTGGAGCACACAAGATACTGCAGTCAAAACTGGTGGGGGTATGGGGGCTCTAATAATTTCCATTACTAAATCATATCTAAGTCTATCTATCTATCTATCTATCTATCTATCTATCTGTCTGTCTGTCTGTCTGTCTGTCTATCTACCTATCTATCTATCTAATCATCTATCTATCTATCTAATTATCTATCTATCTAATTATCTATCTATCTATCTAATCATCTATCTATCTATCTATCTATCTATCTATCTATCTATCTATCTATATGTCTGTCTATCTAATCATATATCTATCTATCTATCTATCTATCTATCTATCTATCTATCTATCTGTCTGTCTGTCTGTCTGTCTGTCGGTCTGTCTGTCTGTCTGTCTATCTATCTATCTAATTATCTAGCTATCTAATTATCTATCTATCTATCTATCTATCTATCTATCTATCTATCTATCTAATTATCTATCTATCTATCTATCTATCTATATATCTGTCTTTCTATCTAATCATCTATCTATTTCTATCTATCTATCTATCTATCTATCTATCTATCTACCTATCTAATTATCTATCTATCTATCTATCTATCTATCTATCTATCTATCTGTCTGTCTGTCTGTCTGTCTGTCTGTCGGTCTGTCTGTCTGTCTGTCTATCTATCTATCTAATTATCTAGCTATCTAATTATCTATCTATCTATCTATCTATCTAATTATCTATCTATCTATCTATCTATCTATCTATCTATATATCTGTCTTTCTATCTAATCATCTATCTATTTCTATCTATCTATCTATCTATCTATCTATCTATCTATCTATCTATCTATCTATCTATCTACCTATCTAATTATCTATCTATCTATCTATCTATCTAATCATCTATCTATCTATCTATCTATCTATCTATCTAATTATCTATATATATCTATCTAATCATCTATCTATCTATCTATCTATCTATCTATCTATCTATCTATATGTCTGTATATCTAATCATATATCTATCTATTTCTATCTATCTATCTATCTATCTATCTGTCTGTCTGTCTGTCTGTCTGTCTATCTATCTATCTATCTGTCTATCTAATCATCTATTTATCTATTTCTATCTATCTATCTATCTATCTATCTATCTATCTATCTATCTATCTATCTATCTATCTGTCTGTCTGTCTGTCTATCTATCTATCTATCTATCTATCTATCTATCTAATTAGCTATCTATCTATCTATATATCTATCTATCTATCTATCTAATTATCTATCTATCTATCTATCTATCTATCTATCTATCTATCTATCTAATTATCTATATATCTAATTATCTATCTATCTATCTATCTATTTATCTATCTGTCTATCTAATTATCTATCTATCTATCTATCTATCTATCTAATTATCTATCTATCTATCTATCTATCTATCTATCTATTTATCTATCTATCTAATTATATATCTATCCATCTATCTATCTATTTATCTATCCAAGCCAAAAATCTGAGTTAAAGCGGTACTATGGGGCTTCTGGAGACCAAAACAACCCAACGTTTTGGCTATTGCCTTCTTCCGGGGAGATCCAAAAAAAGAACAAACAAAAAAAAAGACAAATATTCATTCTCCCTTCCTTGTTATTACCATGCAGGGAGGGGGGCATGATGATCTCTATTGGTCCAGGATGCTGGGAATCTTCGCCTTCGTCTGTATGAGGGATATTTGTTACACGTGTATTGCCTGTGTGTGATACTTGTTATGTGTGTATTGACTGCGTGTGATACTTGTTATGTGTGTATTGACTGTGCGTGATATATGTGTTAATTGACTGTGTGTGATACTTGTTATGTGTGTATTGACTGCGTGTGATACTTGTTATGTGTGTATTGACTGTGTGGGATATGTGTTATGTGTGTATTGACTGTGTGTGATATTTGTTATGTGTGTATTGACTGCGTGTGATACTTGTTATGTGTGTATTGACTGCGTGTGATACTTGTTATGTGTGTATTGACTGTGTGGGATATGTGTTATGTGTGTATTGACTGTGCGTGATATATGTGTGTATTGACTGTGAATGATATTTGTGGTGGGTATTTAATTCAGATTTAAAAAAATGCACGTGGGGCCATGTTTGAATGCAGTTGTGTATTTTTGCAGTTCCCCATGTACACAGACCCACAGTCAGACACACAGCCAGATGCACACAGTTATACACATATACTGTCAAAAACAGCCACATGGACACAGTTGCAAGCACATAGTCACTCGCACCCAGTCACACACAGTTACAGACAGACAGTCACACACAGTCACAGGTAGAAGTCTCAGACACAGTCACAGGCAGACAGTCACACACACAGTCACAGGCAGACAGGCAGAAACATACACACACATGCACAAACACACTTAGCTCCCGCTGCCTATTTAGCTCAACTCTGTCACATGTTTAGCTCTGCCTCCGCCTCCCGTATTTGTGGCCAGCTTTTGAAATTCTGCCACTATCAGTTGGCCCCTGTGTGTAATCAGTGTGGCTGCACATGGCGCCATAACAGCAGGGGTGCTGGGTGGCCCGACATAGCTCACATACAGGAGCACACTCCTAACGCCGATCCAGAAATTGTCCATAACTATGCATTAATTTGCTGATTACAGTGTCTGTAAGTAGACGGTCTACAATAGATGAACCTTTAACCAAATAAAGGAACACTCCATTCACCATAACCACTAAATTGTGATGTAGTGGTTATGGTGCCAAGCATAAAGGGGTCTTCCCCTTCCAGAGACACAGGCACAGCTACCGCAGAACCCCAAACTCCCGAACAGGATAAAAAGTAGCACTCCAAACTCCCGAACTGGAACCTCATGAATAGCTGCTAGCAGCTGAACAGGAAAAGCACCCAAGCGGCTTACACTCCTGGCAATCAGTCTCTAACAGCATACAGTAAATCGAACGAGACAAGGCTCTGTTTTGAGGGTCAAGCAGGAACAGACAGAGCTGTGGGTTTATTGTTCTTATATACACATTCTTACACATTAGTACCACCCACAGGGTTTTGGAAAACAACCAATAAACACGTACAATACACTCAGACACTCCCATACGAAATCCTCCCCTCTGCCTGTGATACAATTACCTTACACAATTGGTAATGTAATTATCACAGGCAGAGAAATACAGTTTTTCCATATTATTCATAATTTTAAAAGTATGCATCACATTTACATTTTCAGAATCAGCATATTCCAAATAAAAACATACGTCAAAATCATACAAATTGGTCCAGTGGTTTAAAAGATAGATCGTAGTCCTTTGTGACCAAATGAAGCATGGCTTTTCTGCCCAAAACCAGTTCCACAAAGTCTTCTATCCTGGAGATAATTGGGAAGTAATCCAATTATCTCCAAGGACAGAGGCAAAACTCCATTGAACACATGGCAGCAAAAGACAATAAAATACATAAAAATATATAACTGTGCAGCCATTGCATAAAACAGTTACATTCAAAATATCCCCAGATAGCTCAGATATATGCACACAAGTCCAATATAAAGGCCAAGGTTGGTGTTCACGGGTGACCAGCACAAAAATGAGGCCTAATGGGAAACCTTGCCAAGGGGATATTTCACAGTCTTTAGGGAAATGTCCATTGTAGGAACCCGGGTAATAGGTAGTTCTTCGAATCTGTATGTGCAATAAATCCTATACAAAATGGTGTATTATAAAATGTCGGGTCTAATGTAGCCCTACTCATGTGTAGTATGGATGGCATACAGTGGTACAATCCCCACTTAAATGATATGTGAAGAGATGTCAACCATAAAAGGGTTAAACAGAAACAACAAAATAATACTCACTGTTTAAAAGAAAATAGGGGTATAAAATAAAAAAATGTTTACTCACATTTGCTTGATCAGACAAACTGCTCGATGAATCAT